CTGTCTTATTTTCAGGGAAACAGGGTAGTATTATACAAATTTTCCCCTATATTCATACCATGCATGATTCTGTACACCTTGATCATGTTTTTCCTTCCTCTGAGTGTTTCCAACTTCTACAATCCCAGACGTTGCAACTTTCTTCATACAGTAATCCAATCTCTGTTCATTCTGGATGCCCTCTGTGCATGTTTTCCAGCTCTACAATATCCCCCCTCTAGTGTAGTGACAAGAACTGTGCATAGTATTCCAAATGTGGTTGCACCATGGATTTGTATAAATGCAATAATACAGTGGCAGGTCCCCCTCCCCTTGTTTTCTAATTATGTCTCACAGGAGATCTGTCTTTTTTGCAGTTATATCACAGTAAATAGATATTGTTGCCAAGCTATATTAGACTGTGAACTTGGTGGGTTTTTTTTTAACTCAAGTAAAGTATGCATGACTTCTAAGGATGGCGTCTCTTGTCCTCTCATGTGAGAACACTAAGAACTGCTACTGTATATCGTTCTTCTAGCCTGTAAGCATAGCAGACAACTTCCTTCTACTCTTGAAAGAGTTTTCACATTAATGAGACCTATTTCAAGCAAAACTGTCCATTTTCCACAAAACTACATAGTCTGCACAGTTGTGTAAATCACACAAAACTAGGATGGCTTCTGTTTGGTCCAAGAATGTGTAGCATTGGATGAGTCTTTTGTTTCTTTATTCTGCACTTGCTGTATGTGTTACTTTTCAAAGGGAAAGAAAATTGATACAAATTTGAGAAACACTGAAGGGGGGGAAGCTGTTTGTCTCACTCTTAGGAGAATTGAGGAATTTAAAATTTCTTATCAAGGGGTTTTCCCTACTGAAACAACCTAAGCTGACACAAATGGAACAGCAACAATTCCTCTTATTCCTACATTACAACTGCTTACGCTGAATTTCATTTTCACTTACTATTTTATTGACTACTCCCACACTTTAAGAAATGGTTGCAGAGCTCTTCACCATCTATTTTTCTTTGTAATATTCTAAGTAATTTTGCATCACCATCAAACATAGCCATCTCACTGCTCACATCTAACCCAGTCATTTATGAAAAAAACTAAAAAGGACCAATTCCAATACAGATCTTCATACAACCCCAGTGTTCACTTCTCTCCACTACAAAAGCTGGTAATTTATTTCTTCTCTCTGATTCTTGCTCTTCAATCAGTTTCCATTCTATAAAAGAACTTCTTCCCCATGGCTGCAAAGTTTTCTCTTTAATCAAAAGCTTGTCAAATGTCATGTAGACAATGTATACCACTTCATTTCTATCCACGTCTCTCCTGATACCTTCAACAAGTCTAAAAAGTTAATGTAATACAAGGCACAACTTGTAATCCAACGAAGATGGTTGAACACCAGTTTGTATTTATTTATTGAATTTGTATCCAGCACCATCTGGCAACCAGGTCACTCCAGGTGGCTAACAACAGTATGAGCAACAATATTAAAACAAATTGACAAATAAATTAATAAATAATCAAATAGGATAAATTAAAACAGATGGCAATGAAGGTGATACAAAGGGTGATGGAGAGGATGACCAAAAGATTGGTAAGAGGGAGGCTAAGATCTTAATGCTCCGGGAAAGCCTGGCGGAAGATACAAGTCTTCAATGCTCTTTTGAACCCATCCAACGAGGGTGCCAGGCAGATCTCAATGGGCAGGTTGTTCCATAGGTGGGGGGCAACCGCCGAGAAGGCCCGGTTTCTTGATCTTTCTCTCTGGGCCTCCTTCAGGGTCAAAGTCCTCAACCACCCTGCTTGTGAAGAATGGGTATTACGAACAGATCTGGCTGGGAGCAGGTGTTCTGATAAGTATCGAGGTCCTAAACCATTTAGGGCTTTGAATGTTATCATCATAACCTTGAAGTTGATGCAGAAATGAACCGGTTGCCAATAAAGGGCTTCTCAAGTGGGGGAGATGTGCTGGAATTTCTTCACCCCAGTTATTAATCTGGCCACTGAATTTTGGACCAGCTGAAGTCTCTGCATCAGCCTCAAGGGTAACCCCACATAGAAAGCATTGCAGTAGTCTATTCTTGAGATTATGAGGGCATGAATCAGTGTCGTGAGTGTCCCCACGTCTAGATAGGGATGCGGCTGGGCAATCATCTGAAGATGGAAATTGGCTGCCCAGACCACAGATGCCACTTGGTTTTCCATGGTGAGATACGGGTCCAGGCAGATGCCGAAGTTGCAAACTTCACTCTTCCTATGAAGTGTCATTCCCCCAAAGGAAAGGGAGTTTCCCAACCCACTGACGCCAGGGCCGCTCACGTGCATGTTTTCCATCTTGTCCGGGTCCAACCTCAGCCCATTTGCCTTCATCCACTCCAGAATGGTCCTCAAGCAGTGTTCAAGGGTCAGGACAGCATCCACTGCAGTTGGAAAAAAGGAGAGCTAGAGCTGGGAGTCATCAGCGTACTGATGACACCGGGCTCCACAACTCTGGATGACCTCACCCAGTGGCCCCATATAAATATTAAATAGCATTGGCGAGATGATCGACCCTTGAGGAACCCCACAAGTGAGGATCCACGGGATGGAAGTCATCTCGCCAAACTGTACTCTCTGGGGACGGTCCTCCAAGAAGGAACGGAGCCATGGCAAAGCGAAGCCACCAATTCCCAACTCAGAGAGCCGCCCCAGGAGGATACCGTGGTCGACAGTATCAAAGGCTGCTGAGATACCAAGGAGGACTAACAAGGATATACTGCCCCTGTCGGCCTCCCTCAGGAGGTCATCCTGCAGGGCAACCAATGCTGTTTCCGTATCATGCCGCGGTCTGAAGCCCGACTGGAATTCTATATTCTGAATTCCCTAATACTGAAATCACCTGCAAATTGGGATGGATAACTCTGGCCATATTTATCTCAGTCTTTTTTCCCATCCAATTGTTTGTTCAATCCTCTTTTTAAAGCGGTTTTTACTATGAAACAGAAGAAACCAACATAATCATTCATATGCACTGCTACGATACACAATTGGTCAGCATCCTGCATGTCGCTGCATAATATAAAGTTATGCAGTTGTAACTCTGTCAGGCATTATGACCAGGCAACAAGGACTGCACAACCTGATTGTCAATTGATCATGTGACAACCAATTGTGCAGTATACCAGCAGAGGTGCTTCATGAATTGTACTTCCACCTTGGCGCTATTGGCGCTAGCACTTGCATAATGTCAGGCTATGCAAGCACAGCTACTCAATCGGATTTCAGCCATTATGTGCATTGTCTCTATTGTTCAGCTAAGCTATCCTAACATCTCTATTTTTCTTTTAGTGATTCAGTTTGTATAACTTGGAAAGCTTTTGTCAAAATGGATACTAAAAGAATTTCTTCTCCATCTATACTTACAAGGATGCAGAATTCTTAGGTTTTGACAGAAGCTAGTGGATTGTTTTAGGTGAAGCTGATTTCCAGTAATACCAAAATATGCAGACATTTGGCACCCTAGTACTTTAGGTGCCATCAACTACTGATGCTTGGAGGTCCTAATCTGACACAGTGCTCTTTTGTATTTCATGCTGAAATACATGGAGGTTGGTTGAGTTCATGAACATATGAAATGGAAGTTCATAATGGATCGTGGTCAGGATCACCAAGAATAACACAGAACAATATGATCTGAACAATTATTTAACAGTGTGGTTAGCCAAAATGAATTGGTGTGAGCTTCATACCAAGAACAGATATTTAAAAAGCAAGTATCATTCCGATGGGGATGGGTGGGTTATAGTTTAAATTATTTTAATAATTTTAAAATTGCTATTTCACAGTGTTACGGATACTCAACAAAAGCGATAATTGGAAAATTGACAAAGCAACATGAATTCTCAAAAAAAACTCTTCTCCAAAAGTTCAATAATAAGAACAACTCATTAATTCAGAAATCTAGGAAGTCTCCTGATGTTCACTAAATCACCTGCACTACTCTGCAGTCCAAAATTAAAGAAACCCCCACACACACAACCAACAAACAAACACACACACACACACACACAGAGTTTGGGAAATATTTCACTGGAAACATGAATGCATACCTCAATTTTACTCTCATGGCTTAAAAGGGAAAATTTGACAAAAGCTGTAATTGAACCACAGCAATTAAGATTAGGAAAATCTTTCACAAGAGTGCTTAAATGAATGGACATTATTCTTTGGAACTCAGAATCCATTGGCAAAATGGACTGCAGTCCATTTTATTTGATAGGAACAAAGGAATGGAATCATTGCAATGGCTTCTGCCATTCTAGAAGACAACACTGAAAGCAAAGAGGAACTGCAAATGCAGAAATCCAAACCATTTGTAGTGGCAATTAGTAAGATTCATTCTGTCGAAACCATTACAAGGAAGGCTAATGACATGTTTCTTCTTTTTTCTGTATGTGGCAAATGCATCAGTGCACTTGCTGGATGGTGAAAGACCAACTACGTAGGTTTATTCAGTCAATTTTAATGCCCTACTTATAAACCATTCACTTAGCTGGCAAAATTTGTTGTGTGCCATTACATTCCCATTGACATGTACTAGCTGCACATAGTGTACATGCAGTTATGGAGAGAATGTCTGGTGAAAATTTTAAACAAACTGTTTAAAATAGTAAAATAACAATTTAAAAAGATGGCAACATTATCCAGCTTATCCATCACTGTTTAAGGAAAATTATTACCTTTTTAAAAATGAGAATTCTTTTACACTTTGTATCAGTAGGCATAGATAATACATATAAATACATTCAGCTAAAAGCTCAGATTAAATGTTGACAAAAGGGCATATGTTTTCTGGAAATGAAAGTAGCATATCCATCTTCATATTTCTATTAGAATAGTTTTTTTACTCTGTATTAATATAAAAATATGCCTTATCATTACAATATCTTCAAATTCTTATTAGTAAAAATCCCAAAACCCTTTCCTCAAAAAAAAAAAAAAAATTAAATGACTGAATTTGGTACTCACCAGGTGTAAAATTGTATCGTGCAGAAAATCCCAAAGATTCAAGTTCACCATCAGCAAAAAATTTAATCCAAAGGAATCTGCCACTGGATTTTATTTTTGGTGGGTTTTGTTGTCCACAGTAACGACCAATTATTGGGGAAAAGCCAAAAGGTCCATCCCGCACCTCAATATGATCAAATTTACACTCCCAAGAAGGTTCTATGGAATATTTTTCATCGAAGTGTAACTCAATACATTGTCTTGGCGCAGCTGAGGATTAAAACAAAGACATAAAATAGTTTTATTCTCTGAAACCTAATCACATCCAAATGTATCAATGTATCATCTCTGTTCCAACTATTTGTCACAGTATTTTATGGTGTTTATTTGTCCATGAAGCTACATATTACCAAAATTCTTCTTCTATCCATGCATCTATCATTGTATGATTGCTTCTTCTAGAACAGTGGTTCCCAGTCTTGGGTAACCCAGGAGTTCTTGGACTGCAACTCCCAGAAGCCCTAACCAGCACAGCTGATGGTGAAGGCTTCTGGAAATTGCAGTCCAAGAACACCTTGGTTACCTGAAGTTGGGAACTACTGCTGTAGAACAATGTGGGATGGTTACAGAGTAATGTATGGGGTAGGGAATCATGTCTCACCACCACTTCCTCCCATCTAGAGCATCCTGAACAGGACTTTGTTCCCACTGCAGGATGAGATAAAATTTAGCTCTTCTGGCTGTTCAGACCTCCGCTCCTTCCATTTTTAAGAACTACATTGAAACCATGATCCTGTACCCAATTATCTGGGAATAAGTCCCACTGAAATCAATGAACACCCTTATGTGTTGGCAATATAAGATTATACTATAACAGACTTCTCTAAAATCCTAGAAAGATCCATGTGTTACATATCTCAATTCCTCATGCTCTACTGTTCACTATATAGGAGTGTTTAAGCTATGAACCCATTCACCGCACATCCCATCTTTTGGATTAACAAAACAGATTGAACTGCAGCAAAGCACTATGTGATGGCTCAAAGGATTACTTAAGAGCTTTCCATGCCCTTTGCCAGAGAATCAGGTCACATGACATATCAGAAGCAAGAAACAGATAGAATTAAATTTCCTGTTTTAGAAAAGTTCATCTCTTCATCTCCCCAAATCTATAATAAAAGCTATCTCGCCAAAAGAATGGCTAGTCCTATGGAAGTAATTGAATTCAACATTATTTTATTTCCAAAATTATTTTAGGAACAAATTAATACTTGGTTTAGTTTCTAAAATGTATGCAAATCCACAGCCTTGATTACCTCAAAACTATCTGAATTCATTCTGAGATGAGACTTAATTCAGAACAGAAAATGTAGCTGCTTTATTTTCCTGTTGTGGGTCTAAATTACTCTTTCCCTACAGCATTGCCATATGCTTCCTGGTATTTCTGTTCATCTGAACTTTGCACTTTTACTATAAGCTCTTGATATATGCATGGCCAGCAACACAATCACTGTACTGTAGTCCAATAGTAAGTTGGAACCAGACTAAGCCCATTGAATCAATACAATTTAAATAGGTTGACTCATCAAATTGCCATTTACTGTATTTATTAATTTAATTTATATTCCACCTTCCTCTCAGTGAAGATGGAATATAAATTAGCAAGGTGGTACACAACAGCTAAGAAATACATTACATTTAAAACCAATGTACATTTAGATATTAATAGTAAAATAAAATTAGACTTACACAATGTCAAAGCATCATTGATTCAATGGGTCTACTCTGCTTACAATGTATAATAATATTGAATTTAAGCCATCACCACCACCAACACCACCACTACTACTACTACTACTACTACTACTACTACTACTACTACTTTGTTCAGAGAAGAGAGTTGATCTGAAGTCACAATGGGAAAACTCCTATATAGCATAGTTTTTGAACAAAGGCTATGCAAATTGGCTTATGCCAAAATGTGCTTCAGAATGTTGGAATTAAAAATGCCTGTCCACTAATGTACAGCAGAAGCAAAAGCACCGGAATTATTTCCAATCTTTTCACAGTCTTCAGGACTAATGAGACATCCAAGCCACAAGGAGAGGAAATAAATATTATAGCTGTTACTAGTTGGGTAGAATCTAATACTCTGGTGTGTAATATTTACTATAGCCTTCACAGTTGGGGGAGCATCTAGTACTGTGGTGTGTCGTATTTATTGTAACCTGCATAGCTGGGGAGTATCTAGTATTTCTTAAGATCTAATACTTTATCTTCATGGAACTGATAAACAAGCTAAAAGGGCGTAGAAATTCAGCAAATGAACATGAACATGAAAACATTAACCACCTCCACAAAACTCATAACTTTCTTATTGTGATTAAATACTGGACATAAAAATAAACAAGGATTTTTGTCCAGTTTTAAGCCAGCAGACACAGTATGAATGATCATATTTCACCTTCTGACAGAAAAATAAAGCAAAACACAGCAGCTGGCAACTTCCTAGGAAGAGTACCCAAAACGTACTTCTAGCTTATTCAATAAAACAAACCATTTTCTAAATCACACGACAGTATTACAGTCTACAGAAACCTTCCGATGCATTTTGGGGTGTATACTCTCCAACTGTTATGGCTATAATCAACAACTGTAAGTATAATTTCACTTCCTTAAAAAAAAGGACTTAGAGCAGATCGAGTAAGTCTCCATTACCTTCATACTGTAATGCACTCCCAGTAGCCTAAACTAAGGTTTGCTTACTCCCACTTTTGTACAAAAAGCTGATGCTATTTTGGTGCTGAAGCACCAACAAACAGTAAACATGACTCTCAGAAACCTGTACTAGTCAGCAGCCAATAACCACACAAGCTTCCGGTACAAGGGGAATTAAGGGGTACTACTGGTCTCCTCACCACCCCCTAAGGCCTCTCTCTCCCACACATAAACTGGATTGAAACAATAACACAAATAATTACACTAGAGTAGCTGATGAAGTTTTGAATTGTGGTGCTGGAGGAGACACTTGAGAGTCCCCTGGACTGCAAGGAGATCAAACCTATCCATTCTGAAGGAAATCAACCCTGAGTGCTCACTGGAAGGACAGATCCTGAAGCGGAGGGTCCAATATTTTGGCCATCTCATGAGAAAAGAAGACTCCCTGGAAAAGACCCTGATGTTGGGAAAGTGTGAAGGCAAAAGGAGAAGGGGACGGCGGAGGACGAGATGGTTGGACAGTGTCATCGAAGCTACCAACATGAATTTGACCCAACTCCGGGAGGCAGTGGAAGACAGAAGGGTCTGATGTGCTCTGGTCCACGGGATCATGAAGAGTCAGACATGACTTAACAACTAAACAACAACAAGCTGATGAAGTAGCCAGGTGAGCATCACCCCATTCCCTGAGCTTTCAAGTCCAAATCTAGAAAAAGAAAAAGGGGGTGAACCCTTGTGGGATAACAAGCAGGCCCTTGTGATGCCACAGAAGGAGGGGAGTGATTGAGAGAGGAGCTGGAACTGTTTCTGGGCCATGTTGACTGGAACAAGAGTGTGGCCAGTCTCAGCAAATGGGTCCTAAATCCAGGAAACAGCTAGCTAATATGATTTAGGATTACAATATGGCAATCCAGAACTGCACGGGGGGGGGGCTAGGCTTTGTTTGGTAGCCACATAGATGGTGAAATACACGTGGCAGATGCAGCAGTTGCCAGCTTTCCCAGCAGAGCTCACACCCTACTCAGCCTTGTCTGAAGCAAACATGACATGTGTGGAATTCTTCCAGGCCTTATCCTGCTGCTGGCGAGTACAACAGATGTGCAGACACCTTTGCACCAAGCCAGTGAACTTGGACACAAACTGGGAAAGTGTGCAGATGGATGCAAAGGCTTCAAAGCTACCTCACATGCAAAACATCAAGCTTTTTTCTTTTCTCCACTGCTGTTTATCCTGAGATTAGTCTCTTGCCTGGAGGCCTATTGAAGCACAGCAATTTTCCAAGATTTCAGCTGGCATTTTGAGACTTTGGCAGGCCCAGCCGCTGCCTTTGATATTTTCATGGCGAGTTTAATATTTTTGTCTTGAATTCTGTATTCAGAATTTTGATAAACAAACTGTGAACTTTGAGCCAGCAGCCTTCTAATATGCTTTGTTCTGCTATTCTCACAGCCTGACCTTTTCAGCTGGTCTAGCAAATTATATCACATGTGGCTGTCCCTGCTCCTGAACCCCACCCAATTCCTCCCACCCAACCCCAGCTTCCTTTGTCTAATTCTGCCCCATGGCTATACCTGCAGGCCAAGTATCTTTAAACTTACAAGCTGGCTATTCTAGCAAAAAGCTGAAAGAAGCAACTTTGTCTCCTTGGGCAGGATCCAATACCATCATTCTGCTCACGGAATGCCTTCCTTTGGAAAAATCAGGAGGGGTTATTGCAGCCCCTTCTGGGCCCTCAAAACCTGTTCCAGAGGTTCTTAGGACATTGGGGGCAGAGCAAAGGATTAGAGGGAGGGAGGGAGGGAGGGAGGGGAGGAGAAAGGCTTGCTACACAGGCAGACGTCTGCTAGCACAGTACTGGATTTAAGCTCTTTTTTCAGCAGCAATTGGAACTGATGTCCATTTTTGTTGCTTGCCATCCAAGCGGATGCTGTAACTACTTTTGCAATGGATGTCTCTGCTCCTAATACAACACATGCAAACTATAACAGCTCTGAGCTAGTCAAGGGCTGAGTATTACAGAGGCTCCATAACAGCCTTTTTATAGCTACTTTAATCTATTTATTTTTTTATATTTTCCTTTTACTGAACGGTTATTTCCATACATATGTCTAAGGAAAGAAATGACAGGAGGGGAAAGCTGTTGGAGTTTTATGTTCAACTTTGCATGTTGTCTAGTTTGTGTGAGTGGAAGGGACTTTTCTGGGTTGGGGTGACTATCTATTCAGCATGAACCAATCATTCCTTTCAGCTTTTAAATTCAAAGAAAGCCCTACCTCTCTGCTGAGTGTTCTATCCCTCTCCTTCATTGCTTGGTGGCAGTAGAAATTCAAAACTCTGCAACAAAAACTGCAACTGTCATGGCCTCAATGCAGTCATATTATTGGCTGGCTGTGGATGCATGAAATTGTTTGATGCTCCTGAGAAGACCTCATTAAGTTCTGTGCTTTTGAGAGTGTTTGTTTGTGTGCAGCAGTAATAAAAGCAAAAGATGCAAGAATACATTGCTATAGGATTCAGCAGTAATGTGGCACAGCTGTCCTGTGACGAGCTTTTGCTACTTGAACTCTGAGCAATCTTTTTAATTTAGGTTCTAATTACCTTTCTTCAAAGACTCCTAATAACACAGAAAAGACTGTTTAATGCTTGCATGTCTTGTCATCTTTTTCATCTAATTATCTTATACAAGTGCTATCTGGAGATTTTACATCTGCTTTAAAAAGGCTCTGGGTTCTAACTAGAAACAGAGGAACAGTTGCAGGGAAATAGCCCCCTACAATTAAGGCTTTAATTCTTACTAGAATGTAATTTCATATACTGTAGCTGACAGCTGAAGCTAAGCGGGGGGCGGGGGGGGAATCCATTCCAGTTTAACAGTATGTCTGGGAATGAGAGATTGATCCAAACATCTCCCCTTCATCAGTGTGAGCTGGTATCACACTAATGGATTGGAATAATCCTTGGTATCTCTCCAGTTGCTCAGCAATTGAACAGGGAAGCAAGAGTCATTTTTCTTTCAAACAGAGATTCTCTGCTGGCTTTGAAGAATGCATTTTGAATACAAGGAATGTGAATGGAATTAGTGGATATTATTACTCCTGCAGATAATTGCATAGATGTGCGCCAGAACAGCAAAATACTACTGCTCTTCCACAGATAGTGTTAAAGAAGGAGGAGGACTCATTAGCTTTACAAAAAAAGAAGATGAAGGTCTTCAAGGGGACCATTGCTAATTTGGCACCATTTAGAACAGCTCAAGCCCGACTCATATTACATGAGAATCCAGAACTGGTGCTTGCCACAGGGGATTTCAAACACTGGTTTTTTGTGTTAACGAAGAGGGACTTCACTGAGAATGAATTCCCAAGCATACAGGGACATGGTGGCACTACAGGCTAAACCGCAGAAGCCTGTGCTGCAGGGTCAGAAGACCAAGCAGTCGTAAGATCGAATCCACGCGATGGAGTGAGCTCCCATCGCTTGTCCCAGCTCCCGCCAACCTACCAGTTCGAAAGCATGCAAATGCAAGTAGATAAATAGGGACCACCTCAGTGGGAAGGTAACAGTGTTCTGTGTCTAAGTTGCACTGGCCATGTGACTTGGAAATGGGGATGAGCACCGCCCCCTAGAGTCGGACACGACTGGACAAAAATTGTCAGGGGGAACCTTTACCTTACATATAATATACTGAATGATGCAACTGCTCAGTACTGGCTGTCAACTGCACACATTTTCTGGAAAGTACTATACATCTAAGGTAATTTCTCTTATATCTGGAATCATCAAGTATGAGCCCCATGAAGACACACTTATCATGGCGGTCCAATTGGTGGCAACTCCCTTTGGGTGCACCTGGCGGCAAATCAAGCTGGGCTGTCAAGCACTGTCTGACACAGTTACAAGTTTAACTACACTATGAAGCATTTAGACATCACTGTTCGTGTAACATTCAAAACAAACCAATAAATAAATTACAAGACATTTTCAGTGTTTGCGACAACTATTATTTCTATATTACTAATGCCAGGTCAAGGACAGAACATATTGGATTAACTCCAACATTACTTCCTCAGTTATGCTGTGTCTCTTCTTGGTTTCTGTATTGCTTTTTTTCCCAGCCCAACCCCTAACAAACAAGTCTAGGAAATTCATTGCACCAGCAAGGAAGGCAGAAAAAGAAAGAACACCTATAGTAGAGACATTTTAGAGACATGTTTTAGGAATGAAATATTTCTGTACTAACAAGCTCTTTGTAACCCAATCTACATATAACTGCTGGTAACACTGTTGAATTCTTATGGAATATTCCAGTAAACAGATGTACTTCCAGACAGCATTCCGGCTCCAAGAATAGTCAGATCTGATTTTTCTAATGAGATCTAAAACTAGGGCTTGTGCACAGGCCCCTAATTTGATCTGGGTGCTAATTATGAGCTTCCACTTGAGACCTGATTTGACCCAATGCAAATGGATTCTGGTCTAAGCTCAGATCTGGAATGATACCCAAGTATCTGCTATAACTCTGGAAGGGCAAGATGGCAGCCCACCAACTTGTCAAGATAGTAGCGCACCAAGAGAGGAGGGGGAGCACAAAAGACTGTCATAAACTGACTAAAGCTGAATTTTTCAAACAGCAAACAAAACAAAACAAAAAACAGCACTCAATACAATCTCTCCCACTCACTCGGTTCTAAATCAAAGTGAAAGTAACAAGCCAATGCAGCATTAAAGAATTTGAGCAGAAAAATAGGGTATGAGACAATATGCAACCTGCTCCACTGCCTCGGCAACTTGTTTTCATTGAAGAAATGAAGCTGTCAGTCCATGAGCCCCAGCCCCTTCCCCTTTATCGCCACTTTGCACCACTTTTTGTTTCCTTTTCCCAGTTTTGTAATGTATCTTAAACATGGTTGTTGTGGGTTTTCGGGGCTCTTTGGCCGTGTTCTGTAGGTTGTTCTTTCCAATGTTTCTCCAGTCCTCTGAAGATG